GAGACTCCCCTTCACCTATAAAAGGAGACTTCTCTCCTCTTAGAAGGGGGATCCGAAACTGAGCTGGGTTCCCTCTTCAGGACTCTCCTATTAGTCTGGCCTCCGAGTCCTGGGTCTCCAGACCCGGGGACTTGACACCTGGGCTCCAGACTCCTAACTTTGTACCTAAGGCCCTAGGCCTTCTTCCAGTTATCTTTGGGTCTAATCCCCTTGTACAAATGTAAACAATATCATAATGAGAACATCTTCTCTGTGGACGTAGCCCATTCATTAAGGGTGAACCACATATATCTTGTCTTTTGTATACTCATAAATTGGCCAAGTCCTCACATACATGCTGAAGGTCCAAACCTTCACCCATCATTCATCACACCTCATCACTAAGTTGGACTCAATCTTGGCCCAACCATTTTGAGCATCAACATCATTGTCCCCCTTGGAGTTGGAAGCCATGAATCTTCTTGCGAGCAGTGGAAGCGGAGGAGGAGTAGGAGGAGACAAGACTTTCAGAACCCTGATGAAAGTGAAACATACTTGCACTGGCATTGATTTCTTCATCGCTAATATTCCTCTAATTCAAATTCAACACTCTCTTTTGATTTTGAGTGATGAATAGAACGGTGGTTATATATTTTGCCACCTGCTTGGGCACCAAGGATTTTCAGTTTCCTTATAACACTTCTCGAATACTTTAGATAAGTATTAGATCTTCACCCAAAGAAATAGGAGATAAGTATAGTTCCATAAAAATACTTCCAACTAAACATAATCAAATGCAAATATTGTCCTTCCAACAACAGAAAAGAAACCTCCTGTCATTTGAATCATATGCACCCATACCGACCAAACAGATGACATAATTAACTAAAGCCGTAACAAACTCTTAACGTTACGTAGGGGTGGGCAACCGAAACACTAATGCATCTGAATTGCTTTTCAATAATGCATCTGAATTCCTCCTGCCATGGTAGTGGCAGTGGGACTAACGTGTACGAAAGAAAATCCAAGGTGGAAAAGTGAAAAAAAATCCGAGAAATGTCCCTCTGACACAAGATTATAGTATTGAAGTGCCGATAAATATTATGCAACACTTTCCAATTTGTCATCACTAAATCCCTCAATATCGCTATCATCATCTTCCTCGTCCAATTCAGACTCAAAGACCTCAAATTGACCATAATTCAACCCCAAATCACCATATAAGCCCTTCTCTTCTTCTTCTTCTTCCTCACCCTCTTCACTGCTTAAATTATCAATCTCCTTCTCAACTTTAAGCGCGATATTTGATTCGGAGAGCTTCACTTCGGATGAGAACTCAAACGACGACGAATCCAAAGAAGGGAGGGAGAAGTCCTCTCTGGAAGGCAAGCGAGTGTAGGTGGTGGCTTCGACTCCAATGGATGACAACTGTTTGGCGCCACTTCGAGCCTTCAGCATATGGCTAGGGTTAGGGTTAGGGCTCCGTACTGTCTGCTTCTTCACCGGAGGTATGCGAGTTCGTGGGACCCTGGGGCGAGCCATAGCGTACGGACAGAAGCTTATGGATATGGTCGCCATTTTCAGGCGCGGCAAAATGAAACTCCAAAGTTTTCTTGAGTTGGTAAACTGCTAACGGAGTTTGTCGTTTTCACTCTCCTGTTTCAGACTTTTTAGTCAGGCCCGTGAGGGTGCTCTGATACCAAATGTTAGACCCAAGAAGAACTACAAAGAACTTGAAAAACATTATCTTGAAAACACTCAAATGCAGGGAGAACTTTCTTATTGAATTCAAAGAGGCTATCTAATAGCTTACAAAATAAACTAAAAGAGAAATAACAGCCCACGATTTACAACCCTAGGATCGTGGTATATGACTGAGTCTTAAACAGATAATGCAACAAACGTGTCCCTCAAGAATAGGGATTATTCACCATTACTTAAAATAAATCCTAAAACACTAGGAGACCTAACTTCAACACGGTCTCCCTACTATTGGTGCTCTCCTGCCCTCTCGGTGGTGCTTTAACGGTCTCCCTTGGGCCACTGTGCAAATCCATGCTCTTTTGTTTTACCTTTCTTGTTCAAGCGAAATTTTTATTTTTTTTGGGTGAAAAGACGAGGCCATGCCCAAAAGAAAACACTAAACTACGGCCCGAGGCCTACAAAGACCACACAGGTCATCAACAAACGAGGACCTAATACTGTATGGGGGCACTTGAAAGGAACAGAGACCCAAATCAAGGCAAGAGCCCAAGTTAGCAAGTCTATAAGCCACCATATTGCATTCATGATAGACATGATAAATAGAGCAGCCCCAACATTTTTTGATGTAGTCCTGGCAGCCCCATAACAAGGTAGCAAGAGGGTGGAGGGCATCCACAGCTTTATTGAGAAGATTCACTGCAACGGCTGAGTCAGATTCCAGCACAACATCACTACAGCCCATATCCCAAGCAGATTTGAGACCATAGTAGATACCCCATAACTCAGCATCTAATACTTGACCATAACCAATATTAGCAGCAAACCCTTTAACCCACATCCCAGAGCTTGATCTAAGTACACCACCAGCAGCAATGCGACCAGTCTCTCCATTTCGGCAACCATCAGTATTAATTTTAGTCACTCCTGCAGCAGGGTACTGCCAGGATAGAGTGGCTAGGGAGCGGATGGGTTTATGAGCAAGATCAATGTTGGCATATTTCCAATCTGCAGCAGCCAAAAGAATTATGTGGTTGGGATTGGGAGGGAAGACAAACCCAGGACCGAAAATCTTCTTGTTCCTCCATTTCCAAAGGAACCAGCATGTGAAAGCAAACAGAGTAGACCACACAACCCCGTAACCCATTAAGGTGTAGTTGTGTAAATTTTTTCCAGCCCAGGTAATCAAGTTGTCATCCTGCGACAAGTTCAGACTTACAGGCAAGGAGGATTGGCGCCAAACAAGGGAAGCCAATAAACAATTCCTAACAATATGATCCACATTCTCCACAGGGGCACCACAAATGTCACAATTTGCATGTAGATTCATCCTCCGCTCTTCCAGGCAGAATGGAATTATTTCTAGCTGATTTTTTTCAGCCATTGCCACTATCTTTTCATGGTCTTTTGGGTCCAAGTTGCCATCATTAACAACCTTGTTGGATTCAGTCCATCTTTTACTTGTTTTGGCCTCGACCACTTTACGCATATCGTCCACACTTGTTACAGAAACGTGGGGCAACAGATTCAAATGTTTAGTGGCAAACTCGTTGACTGAGGAAGATTTTGAAACGATCTTGTACAAAGTATTGCTAATAAAAGTCATTTCAATTTAAGATAAAAGAAACTACAAAACGATGATATTTTTATTTGTTTACCATCCATTGATTTATATACACGATGATCACTAAAATGGAATGATGGAGATGGTGCATCATATTTTGAGTGTTGCTAAACTACCATCCAGTTCCTTCACTAAAATGGAATGATGGAGTTGGTGCATCATATTTTGAGTGTTGCTAAACAACCATCCAGTTCCTCAGTCCCAATCATCCTTTTCCGTCAACCGGGTGCAACTGGTCACAGGGTTTACATGCTGCACTGAATAATTATGCGTTTACGAACCCCCCTCACTCACTCCGAACATCGCCACTTCAAACACATGCTGACGTCACTCGCATCCCAGCCATCCACTTCACCGCAACAGATCTCGCCCGTCGATCTCATCCGAGTAACCGCGTCTCACTCTCGCACAATGCTTTTTTAACCCATGTGAAGATTGCGGTGAGGTTCTTAATGCATGCGTGTCGACTTATAAACTATTGCAGTTTTGACGTGTACAATGTTTACCTGTGAAGATCAAATATACATATTCATATCGAGTGGAAAAGAAATTGTCACTGCTTAGTAAATAGCAACGACACACATAAAAATCTTAATTTGTGGTGTAATCCAAATTATAGGGATTTTTCCTTAATAAATTTTCTAAATAAATAATTAACATGGATATGATGTCAATAGGGTGAAATTCAAGGAGACTGTTTTAAAGTTGCTTTCGCTTCTTTTGAAGGGCGCGCATTTCACTTTTTTTAAAGAGCATATAAACATGAATATGATGTCGAAATGGTAAAATTTAAGGAGAATATTGACATCGCTATCTGAAAAAGCTTATTTCACTTCTTTCTTTTTTTTTTGTCTGAACCATGAGGTGGTCCTGGATGGGCCCCAACTATGGGTGGCACCTTTAAGCCTTAACCACAACCCAGACTAATCCCCACTCACACCGGGTCGGCCCGTAAGGGGTAAAGTGTTGGCCAAAGTGGTGACTCCGTACGAGAGCAGGGATCGAACCCCTGACCTCTCTTAAGGAATGAGAGTGCCGAATTATTTCACTTCTTTTAAAGGCCACATATTTCACTCCTTTTTTAAAGAAATTTTCTTTAACTTATGTTAAAGAGTGAAACTAATATTTAAGTATTTGTTCTCTGCTTGTGAAATTTTATAGGAATAGGATGGCTCTGTAGCGGAATAGAATGGATATTACCAATCCAAATATCCAGATGGCTGAGTGTGAACTAGGTTATTTACCTTTTTAAGATTATATTGTATTTGCTTTCCATTGACGTTTGTTGTTCAAACTGCAGCTTCTCACTTACTCAATTTATTCGTTTGTTGTCTAAGTCCTTGAGTATATGTCTTTTGTTTTTTTTGTTTTTTGGGGACTTTTGTCATCTGCTTGTATCATTGTGCTTTCTTCACTTGTTTAGATCAAGTGAAATTTATTGTTTTGAAGATAATCAAATGTAGAAAGAAAAAAGAGAGTTTTCCTCAGAATGTTGATTAAACGTTGGTACTGCTACATTTTCTGTTTAAAGCTTTAGCTGGCATGACACTTCAAATACGAAGAGAAGAGTCATTGCAACGAACTTGTTTAAACCCTTCGTATATTTTTATAGTTTTAAAAAATTATAAATTTTACAAAAATACAATAAAATAATAGAGAATTGACACAAATCATAATCACAAAGCTTTTGTAATATCCCAACCCAAAATATAAGTGTACGTGAATTTAATAAATCTAATGAAGTTTGAAAGTACCATTTTGCCCTTAGGGGTAGAATTTAATATATCTAATATCCCAACGCTTTTGTAATACCCTTTACTAAGAAAAAATTGCCACGAGAAGAAAAGGAATATGATGAGGACAAAATGGAAAATTCAACAGTTAACCAAAATATTAAAAATAATAAATTAAATAAAAGATGATAACTGCATAATACAATAATCACAAGGTAATTACCAAAACACTAATCTTTTCCTTGCAATACACCAGAAAATGATCGTTCATCATATTATATTCACGCCACAAGGCAAAACAAATCCCGACTCTTTAGAAAAATACCCGTTCAAACTATGACTCCAAATTATAGAAAGAAAAAAAAAATCGAACTCAATGATGCATTCGAGAAACCCTCACCAGCACATTCATTTAAGGGCCTTCGATGCAACAAAGAGCCTCTAGGACACTTCCATAGTATTTCATGGTACGAGGCAGTGACAATGATCCCTGCCGACCAAACTTCATGTGCCACAATTGAACCCACCCATCTCTTCTTATTTGGTCATATTAGAATACATTGACCCACCTTGGCACCTCTGATCACAATGGACACCAGACCAGACTGAAACCAGACACACGGGATGCCCCGACCCACTTCAACTTGACCCCAACTTGACCCCGACTTGACCCAACAAAATCACCTGGAACTTCTGCCGCATTCAAGTAAATGCTCCTGCAATTTCAGAAAACCAAAAACAGTAACTAATAGGGAAACAAAATACTTCCTAAATTTGCTGCATATAGGGTTACCATTAATCTCCATGTGCCAAACCACATGAACCTCACCTTCAGCTAAAGTTGAATCCACCAGATGGAACTTGAAGTTCGTTCCCTCCAAAGTGGAAGCCTGGCTGGGAACCATCTCCCGATGGTAATGTCTCATCATCTTCCTCCACCCAATAAGTCTCAAGAATTTTAACTGCCTTCTCATAGATCTCAGTGTTGTCATGACTCTGTAGATTTTCAATCTTTTCTAGGCCCTCAGCATCATCAATCAATTGGGCATACAAGTTAACTTCTCCAGTGTTACCAGCATTCTTTTCAGCTTCCCCAACTTTCAGAATGTTCTCCAAACCTTCTAAACAGACGGTGACAATTCTTGGATCAGGGCATACAAGAAGATCGCACAATGGCTTTATACAGCCTTCACCAACAAGGTACCTGACACCCATAAAGAAAAGGTGAACTTGATAAGATAACCTCAATAAGTAGAGAACTAAGACAGCCAGAAGAAGATACTAAAAAATCACAAACTTGATTTGCTCAGGAGTGCCGCCAGAAGTAGCATTTGAGATTGCCCATGCAGCTTCTTTCTTTATGTCAAACTCAGCATTTTGGAGCAAATTGACCAGAGGGCCAATCAAACTAGCGTCAATTACAGACTGCATTATTTTCAAATTAGTAAGTGAACATTGGATCTTCTACAGGACATGCTAATAAAAACACCAACCTCTTCATATACGCATCATGTTAAAAGGTGCTAGTCATTTACTTAAAGTTAAGTGAATAAAATGAGAACTCATATTTAGTTAAATACTAATAACGGGATTTTCCCCCAACATTTGTAGTGCAAGTTTTCATACAAGAAAAACAATCAGTCTCAATGTTAGATGCGACAATGTCATTATATGAACTTGGACAGTTGATACTTTGAACCCACCAAACAAGAAACCCTGAACAAATGACAGAATGCCATATAACTCAGAAACCCCCAATATTCCAAAGAGAGATCCATTGCAACATGCACAAAACCTTAATAAACAAGAATATTCTGACAGCATTCCATAAATAGTATAAAAAAAACCCATGGCCTAATTAATACAATCGCCTAATTCACCATGATTACCTGTATCTGTTCCCTGTTTCCAGCTGTAATATTTGAGATTGTCCAGCATGCTTCTTTCTTGATGCTCTTTTTATGATTATGAGTCAAGAGACTCAGAAGGCATGGGAGTGCACCATTGTTGATAATACACTGAAAAAAAGGGTTACTCATCATGATCATACGAAAAATCAGTCACAAACTGAAAGCAAATATGAGATCACATGATGCTCGTGCCACAAAGGGATTTCTTTCTAATTATATTTGTTGATGCCTAAAACAAGTAAACAAAAACGCAACAAATCAAGATGCTGATATACCTGAGTCTGAAGATCATCTCCTGTCACAATATTACCAACAGTACGAAGTGCAGGAATGAGAACCGAAGGAGATGGATGTCTGAAGCAACAAAAAGAAGTTTTCAACATCAATATCATTGGTGAATAAAACAGAAGCAATTAGACAGATAAATAAAATGCAACACTCACAAGAGGAGCTGCACAAGTCGGGTGCAGACGCCTGCCTCAATCACGGCTTGAATTTTGTCATTTGTACCATCGGAGAGATACGACAGTGCCCAGCAGGCATCTGTCAAGACTTCTTCATCATTGGAATGAACTAAACGCTCAAGCGCTGGAAGTGCTGGCCTCACCTAATAATGCGACTCCAAAGTTAACAACATACCAGAGCAATAATCAAAGAACTTTGCTTTAAATATGAACAGTGGTCGGTACAAGAAGCAAACCTGGTCAAATGGAGGCTGTGGCTTGCCCCTGCAAAAGTTAGACAGCGTCCATGTTGCATTTCTCAGCATCGAAAGCTTTGCGTGCTCATTCAACTGAGCCAGCAATGGCATCAAAGCTCCGTTGCTGAGGACAAGATCACGGCATCTAGGGGAATCACCAGCAACATTTCCCAATGCCCACACAGCCTACAATTTCAAAATGTATTTATAAAGTGTTTAGTGCAATCTATGTGGTAATTCTGTCAAAACAATACAATCTATACATTAACAAACAAACAGGGTAAAAAAGTATTAACATATACCTGCTCCCTAACATCATCACTTGGAGAAGCAAGAAGCTTTACGAATATTGGGACTGCCCCATGTTCGATCACCACCTTGGTGTTCTCTGAGGTTCCGGATGCTATGTTTGTAAGAGCCCAAGCAGCCTCAAACTAGACAAAATTAAACAAATCAACAAAACAATTTAACAAAAACATAAGCAAGCTCAACACCAATGCAACACAGAAACGAATTCGAACCTGAAGTTGTGGGAAATCCTCCCTCATGAGGAACTCAACAAAGCGAGGAACCACCCCAGATTGAATGACTTCCTCAATTGGGGGGCTTCGTTCTACAAATTTAAAGTTTTGATTATAATTAGCAACACCCTTCTACAACAGAAACTGAAAATTAAAAAGAGACGCGAAAGAAGCACTCAAAGACAGTCTAATCTTGTTAAGTACCAATAGAAAGCAGCTTTCGAAACTGTGTAGTGGCCTCCAGTTGCAAATTATTGTTGTCAGACCAAACCCCAGAAACCATCGAAGGCAGACTCTCCAACTGCAATCAAATCCAAACCCACATAAATGTGAATAAGTAAAAACAATACCTTAACCCTGTTGTTCAAAACCCTAAATGTCAAAAATCGGATCCACTCAAAGCCAAAAACAAAGAGATCGGCAATTAAATAAATAAAAAAACCATAGCCAGATGAAGATCGTTACCTTCTTCTCGACATTTGAGGGCTGTAGAGCGGGTGCGAATTGCTGGGATTGGAGGCCTTCGCGACGCTTCTTCAGCAAACTCTCTTCGCGCTTGCTTTTTCGGATCTCGACCATGTTGTCCTCTCTCCTACGACGACCTTCCTCTGCGTCCACCGCCACTTTGTACCGGTTCCGGCGGA